AAAAAAAACGAGAAAGAGTGAGAGAGAGAGTGAGAGAGAGAGAGAGAGAGAGAGAGAGAGAGAGAGAGAGAGAGAGAGACAGAAAACAGGAAAAAAATGCTGGCAATGCACACACAGCGGAACTCGTTTTGCAGATGGAAATTTCGTCCCGGCGAATTTTTCGTCGCGCCACCGCGGGGAACGTTATGCAAGTTGTCTCGCGGAACTGAGACTGATTACCACCACGAAAACAGTAATAGATACGGCAAAATTTTACGGGGCGAAATTAAAGTACGTTACAGCTTTATCCCCGGACGCCAGCGCGCCGTCCGTATATTTGTGAAATGGAAGAATCTCCCTGCGACCTCGAACGCGAAAATTTCGCCATGTCCCGTATTAAACCCGCGCTTTTTTTCCCCCGGCACGCCCGAAAAAAAAGAGAATCCGATCTCATCGAAATCGTATCGATTACGGCGCTCGTGCTTACTAAAAACGATTTTATAATCTGTAATATCAGTCTGTATAATAGTGGTATCGCGGTGAATAAACACGCGCAAATGGTGCATGGAGCAATGTTCGGCGGGAGGGGCGGGGGCGTAAAATGGCGCAAAAGTTTCGCCGATTCCGCTCATAATTTTATGCACTCCATTACATCCGCTGTTATGCACTTTAATCCTATTTCGTGTTTCCTCTATTTCGCATTGCGCGCACGCACGGTCCTTACTTTCACCATTTCGCGATTATTCTAACTTGCTTAAATTAATTCCAAGTCGAATTGAGAGAGCAACTAATAAAACTCGAATGCACGCGCTTGCAAGTGGCGTTTGTAGATTTTTGCGACAAACAAAACTCGTTCGTTACACTGAGGCAAAAATATCGAGAAAGCAAGACAAACATTCATTATCATAAAAGGGAGTAAACGATTGCTTCCGTGAAAAGCGAAGGTTTCGAGGAAATACATAATTTTTTATTTGACGAATATTTCGTGTTTGCATAAATATTTAATTTGTATAAATATTTCATTTTCATAAATAAATGTGTTGTTAGTACTCAGCGAATAAATATTTTCTGTCTTTTGGACATTTCTCCTCTCAGCGCGGAGACGCGAATAAATCATTATACCTATCATTATTTCTATTCGTGTCACAAATACTTATTGCACGAAAGTCTGTTCCTCCTTCGTTTCAAGATTCAGCTGTAATAGTGCTTAAAAAAAGATAAAGTAAGGCGCCGATAAAACGAAGATATAATTTCGTGAAAATCATATATAATTAGAAACAGAATATCCACGTCTCTGTCTCTTTCTCTCTCTCTCTCTCTCTCTCTCTCTTTCTCTCTCTTTCTTTCATTTTACTCGCAAATTCCAATGTGACTTTCATTCGAGTTAAATAAGTTATTCCGGTACGTTTCTGACCGAGTAAAAAATTACTTGTTGTGCGCGAAAAACATTTATCCTCTATTTGCGCGAGATTAAAAAACAAAATCCAGCGGAAAATATTTTATCTTTAATTTCGAGTGAAAAAAATTTTTATCCTTTATTTTCTTTTCATTTAATCTTTTGTTGTCGTGTAAAAATCCGATTGGGAGCCGGGTCCGTCGATTATGACATTTCGCGACGACGGCGCATCGTGTTTATCGGCGCGTGGAGTGGCGGATAATGTATAAATACTTGCCTATCTTCCCCTGCACAGCGCACAGCCACGAGAGCAGTATCAGGTAGTCGCGTATCATCTTTCCGGAATGGCACCTGTAATTAGAGATCGTTTGAGTGTTGCGCTGTAAGCTGCCGCGCGAACGATAGCCGTCGCGGGATTCCGCGTTTCATTAATTTTGGCGCACAAGTCCACTGTTCTCGCACCCCCGCAACCCCTTCAGTCCCCTCTTGCCCTCCCCTTCCTCCGCCGCGGGATTGCGGCTAAGAAGTTGAGATGGAGTACTCGCGCTGAACGCGAACGGTATATTCTCGGGGTTATAAAAGATGATAAGTATATATGCTTTCGCGCGATATATGCTGTGTGCGATATTAAAGCGGAATAACGCTTCGCGCAGCTTAAACGCGATATGCAAATAGGTCGGCCATTAATGTCGGATAGCGGCCGCGGCTGCGGATAATTTCGCAGGCGCGCGCGCTCACCCGTAAACGCACCGAATTCGGAGCCCGTTCCGGATTTTTTCTCGTGTGTCTATTTCCAAGACACACGAGGTGACGAAAATCGATCGACTCCCACTTTTCCCGTCATCCTGCGGAAATTCGCGATCGCGGCAGCACACCGCCAGGCTTCATTTACTCCCGTCGTCCTATAATTCCAGTCGTATTGGCGTACACACGCCTTTAAACTCCAGTCACAGACGGATAATTTTTTATCGATTTATGCGTTCGACGTGGGCGAAAGTATTTGCCACGAGCCGACAACGGAGTTACATCTGTAAGGGCCGATTGTTCCAACTTTTTGGTAAATCATGCGTCCGTCTCTGTCTAATTTGAAGAAAAAACGAAGACAGACATATGATTTAACTGTCAGGTAGCTTACCAACAAGTTGGAACAATCGACCCCAAGGAATAAACCGCTGACACGATAGTTTCCGCTGTATACTTATTTTAGTTTGAACAATATTATATGAGATATACAAGAGAATACACTCTGTGTCCTTCCTAGTCTGCTCCGATTTATATCTGGAGGAGTAGTCGCCGGAATCTTACAGAGCACACACATACACACACACACACTCATACATACACGTACATTTGTAGTTCACATGTGGAACAAAGAAAACTGGCCGCGTTTCGTCGTCGAGCTCTCTGAGCTCAGACCGTTTGCTTCGGATCTTCGCGGATAATCAATACTAATTAAATATCGATCTCGCCCGCAATGTATTTCGCCGCGTTGTCGCCTTACCGTATTCTCTCACGTCGCGAATAATTTTTGTGTCTTTTGGCGTTCGTCATAACCGAGCGTCCTTTATATCGATTATCGCGAGATCACGATACGCAAATTTAACTATATCAGTTACGGAAAAACTGTCATTTATATATATTAAATGAAGGAGAGGTTCGTTGTAGAATATTAAAGACATTATTCGGCAATCCTGATTGGTCAAATGTTGCATCCTTATTGCTAATCCTCTCTGAGGATTCAAATATCTGTCTCTTATACATTTGAGGTGTCAAAAGATTCTTTAGTCTTTCGATGATTTATATGAATTATTTACAAACATGTCGTTTCTCTCTCTCTTTCTCTATCTATCTATCTATCTCTCTCTTTATCTGTCCATCAATCTATCTATCACTTTTTCTCCTATTTCCTCCCTTTTGCGATTATTTTCGCGAAGAACGTGGAATTTTACGCATTCTGCACACTTTATAGATTAAATTGAAGGAAATATTAAATTTACATTCCTTGTACGGCTGTACCTTGCCTATATTTCAGGCATTGACATTTCGCAAAATTGGCAGGATCGAGTGTAAAATCAAATTCCGTTTGCGTCAAACGTATGAAATTCATTATTCTAGGGAAAATATGTGACGTACAGCCGCGTATAATTAATGCAGTGCGCGTCGCGCGGCTATTTCGTTCCCGGCGAAACGTAAATATTCAAGATAAATGACACTGCGGGAGGTGATAAACAAGCGCTAATTTGGGATTTAATTCGGTGAAAATTGTTCACTTCGTCGTGCGCGAGCAGCGAAGCGGGCGCTTCACTCAAACGTCTTACACGCGAGAGAGAGAGCGCGCGATTTTTATTTATACAACGCGCGCGAACACGCGGTTAAACGCAAACGTGACGAATGTGTCTAACGCGAGCCTTTTTTGGCACCCTTCCGCACTCTGTAACAATTGACCGACACTCGCGGAGAAAGACACACTCGTGGTTCTCGTTATTTTTCCCCACTGCATTTTCCCTTTCTATTGTCCGAAATCAGATGAGAGGACGATTGCATAATTAATCCTTTAACTTTTGCAGACCAGGCGGCTTTTCGCCCGACTTTTGTAGTCTTTCAAGTAGACTCTTTGAAATAAACTCTTTCGAATATATCAAAGGGTAGATTGGTCAAAAGTATGAGATTCCTGCCGCGCCACTATAGTGTGGCTTCCCGAATTGTAAAGCCCCGCGGCACACGATGCTCGATTCTCCGCTGTGCATGGAGCGCAGCATAATTTTGACGATGGTAATATACATTATTTTGCACATTCTTCCTTCCATGCACTAATTAGTGCATCAGAATCACACCGCATGCTCGAGTTTCATTTATATATTCGAGTGTCGCGTCATGTCATAGGAACGACATAATGAACATTGTCGTCATTCAAACTGTGCTCTGCGCTCCATGCAGAGAATTGAGCATCATGTGTCGCGGGCTTAAGGCGATACCGACATAACGCAGTTTCGTAATTGTCTCTTTTCTTCTAATTGGATGCATCAAATTGAAAATGCCTTTTACAGAGTGAAAGTACGAACGTTAATGAATGGCTGACGCTAAACAGTTGCATGAAATCAACAAAAATTTTTTATGATCAGTCGGTAAAAAAGAATTTTGTTAATTTCATGCAACTGTTGAGCATCCAACATTTGTTAACGTTTGTACTCTCACCCTGTGAAGGCATTTTCAATTTGATGCATCCAATTAAAAGAAAGGAGAAGAATCTTTTTTCTTCATAAAATGCTCGTAACAGATGGTCTTTATCAAGAATTTTGTATTGTAAAACTGTACCGAGTAAAACTGACCGTCGAGGAGCACGACTTTCTCGATGTACATAATTATGTACACACACTCCTATGTGCAGGATTTAACAAACTTTATAACCGTGATAAAATGAACATAAAAGCATCGAGCTTGTACTTCAATAAATCGCTTGACATCGATAAAAAATTGAGAAAGTAAAACCCGCTTATTTCGACATCAACGATTTTGCTCCGCGTACGATCGCCATATTGGTTCTTCCTCTCAGCGGGAGAACCGCTATTTCACGGATTAGAATGGAGGATAGGAACCTATCTCCGACGAATCGATCGTATTACATCGATGGAACCATTATTTCGCTGATATAAAAAACTGAGGAAGAGGGAGAGAGAACACTCGAAATGAGTGCACACACAGTTATGCATGCTGGGTCTTAAAGGGTTAACGCAATCGAATACGATATGAGCATCGCCATGCACGGCTCGCAGTTTTTCCCATTGATCGACTGTAAATTGCGCAAACTAGCCGTCCACTCAGCCCCCACGGTGTATCGCGTTGAGCCGAGCCTGTGAACGTTTAACAACGACCACGAATAGGTTGAGGGGGAGAGCGCGGGACGCACGTGGAGGCCCGTCCGCGGGCCACGGTGGATTTCAATTTGCGAGCGGCGCACGACAGGAACGAACGACGGGCGGAATTACGAGGAGGACGAAGAGGACGGCGGCGGAGCTTTTGGCAGCTACCGTGCGGAACGCCTCTTTGTGCCGCCGCGCCACCGGACGCAAGTTTACGGTCGGCACACGCGATTTTCTTGTTCGCCGGCCAGCCCGCCGTGCGCCACGGGGGTGAACAGGGGGTTGACGACTTAATACGGGATAATAACTGGCGGTGTCGATACGCGTCTTCCACACGGATGACATTAAATGCGCGCGCGCGCGCGCACACGCTGCATGAATAATTCGCGGCGGGGAGGCGCGGCGCGGTGCCGAAATGTCAATACGCGATATCGCGATGTCTCGCGGCGCGTAATTGCGAAGGAGTAATTGCGCTGACGATGATTCGGGTTATTATCTGGGGGATCGATTGTGTGTCCCCCGACGGAATTCGTTAACACGCCCGCTCGTAGGATTCTCCCGCGCGTCAATTTGCGCATATGACGACAAAGCCGGGCGTTAAGTCGCGACGTATCACCGGATATCGCGTCATCGTCCCGCTATGTTTCTGTTTCGGGCCAAACGTCGCGAGGTCTGAACATCTATTGTTCCTACAGAGTGAATGTAAAGGGTGGCCTTAACTTACCGCACCATCACTTCGAGGAAAGAAGGAAAGTAAGTCACTCAGGAGCACCTCTCTCTTTTCCCGAACTTTACTACTAACGCACGCGAAATGTACAACAAAATACACTCTTTACCACGGCGAATTTCTTACAATTTCTATACGAAATTCTTACCAAGACAAAGTCAAGAAGACGGCGCAATCACAGGTTTACACGCGGTACGCACGGATGGGTAGACCTGGCCACCAACTGACAAGCACACGTGCAGTCCCGCAAAAAGGCTCACCAGACGTGTCGGTGAGGAATTGAACCCGCAGCGTATCGGCTGACCTCTAATTATTCGTCGTAACAAAGCCCGAAGTGACTCACACGAAACAACAACACGACACGCACGCAGCGGTCACGCAGCGGTCACGCAGCGCACCCGTGAGTCACACACACACAACACTCGCTCGCTGCAGGATTTCTCCCGAACGCCGTAAAGAATGCAAGAGCGCTTGCACCTCAGGAACAGCATTAAGCAAAGCTGCCGCGAGAGGAGGCCTGCCGCGTGCAACAAACGCAAAGATTCATTCGGTATGAAGGAAATAGCTAGACAGAGAACACGAGACAGGAAACAGAGAAGCTGGCAGTCCACGGGCGACGCATGTGACGATCACGTGCTCACAATGGTCGCCACAGAGACAGCTTCCTCGCTGCACGGCGCGCACTCGCAAAAAGACAAGCTTGAGCAGGGCTATGCAGCCAGCACCACGCGAGCTACCCGGCAGAAGCACTCTGCACGAAAAAT